AAAAGCGCCGCGATCGCGATCTGCGGCGGCAATTCGGCGGGAGGTCCTTTGCTCCCAGTGGGAGTGAGGGACCGTCCGCTGAATTGCCGCCGAATACCTGGACGTGCCGCCACTCTCCGGAGCAGCCGCCCCAAGCACCTGCTTGCCAGGCTGGTGCCTGGAGCCGGCCCTGAGTATGGGGAAGAAGGACAGAACCTGGTCCATAGACTGCAAACTCCTTTCCACAAGGACTTCACAGACAAGCATGAAGACAAACGATCTAGCATCCTGTTGGCACTATGAGACACCTGCCCACCACCACCTGCCTGAAAAAACTCCACCCAACTAAATACCAGATTGGGGGGGGGGGGGAGCCCACAGATTAAATAGGTGCATTGTATTCCAACGCATCTTGCGGGTCATGAATTCAGGCTCCGATGGACGGAGGGAGGAACAGAGCTGCTGTTCCTGCAGTGAGAATGCCAGGATACTAGCATCTTGGAGAGTAACAGCAAAACACTTAAGCCAATCACAAATGCTGTGATGGGGCATAGAGGGCATATATAAGCGCTATTAGTCATCCAGAAGAATTTTGTTTTTCTAACCTCTATGTTTCTGCCTGTCACTTTTAGGAATAAATTTGTGTTCCTGCCAGTTATTTGACATTACACTTGCTTTGGATGATTGCCTTTCCCAAATATTAATAGTAACTCATTATGGACACAGCATTGGTATTTAGTTAGATCAGACCAGCTTATTTTTAAAAAACAACAACTATTTCATATAAAAGAACAGATGTTTTTAATTTACACCAAGAACAAAAACAAAGTCCTATTGTTCAGTTACAGGGAATACAAACACTGATGGCTCTTTAGAAATTAACACCAACAGAATTTTTTTTTAAGCCCCTTGTTACATAGGTCCCTTTGTGCCTAATCCCCTACATTAATACATTAGTGGCACATAATTGTTATGTTTTGTAATACAGATCAACATGAGTGCGGCATTTACAAAGACAATAGAAAATTGCATAAGTATAACAATTTAAGTACACATTATACAGACAAGGATTTTTTTTTTTTTTTTTTACACAAATAATTAAGTAGGGATATAAACTCTAGCAATTCGGGGCATAAGCCAATCACTGGCTCATGGGGATCCATAACAGGATGTCTTATACCTTTCTCTGAAGCATCTGAAACGGACCCTTGTCCATTGTCCCAGAGAACAGACTGGAGTAGATGGACCACTGCTCTGATGCAGAATAGCCATTCTTACTGTCCTGCCATCAGTCCAGTTCCACTGTATTTTCGTGTGTCTACACCCACTCTTGAAATGGAATACAGCTATTGCAATCACCTGCCCATGACTGGATTTCATCCCACCTGCCCTCCTTTGTTGTCTGTACAGCGTAAGCATCACGTAGCGGTGGGTGCATTTAGGCCTCTGAGAAGGGAAACCCTTTTGTGCATGTACGAGAGGGAATTTTATCCAGCACAATGGGGTTCTCTTGTAGTAGCACAAGAAGTTAAATAATGATTAGACTTCTATAGCACCTTTCCTCTGGGGCTCTAAAAGCTCTTTGAAAACTCCCCTGAGACGTAGGTGTTATCCTCCCCACTTCACAGATGGGGAAACCGAGACACATAAAATTGAAGTGATTTACCCAATATCACACAACCAGAGCTGGGAACAGAACCCAGATCTCCTAATTTCCTGCTTTGTGAGTTAGCCCCTACCCCATCCCACCCACCCCCAATCATTTATTATGCCACCACTTTACTTGTTCCTGTATAGAATAGTGTCTTACTATAAATTTATTATAGCCAAAATCTTTACCTTGAAAACAGAAAAAGCGTTAGTCAGTCTGTTATATCAACATATGGAATCTTCCTGACTGTGATGAGGATACTTCTAAATTCACTCCATATTGAGAATGTGCAAGGAATATACAAGTACATTTTATACCTCAGGGTGGATTACACTATCTCCCAGTAGCAGCACAATTGCCAGATAACATGCTCTCTGCTGCCACCTTAGGGCTACATGTATTTTAACACAGCCTAACAAAAGCTGAGCAAGAGAAAGCATGCAAACATGCAATATATTAGTAACAAAGGGCCCAAAAGCCTACCCCTCGTTAATCCTCTTCTTGTTTCTTCAGTGGCTGCAGATTAATGCTGTGAATGTGCAGTGCATGTTTTGGCCAGCTCACAAATGCATGCTGCACAGACACTCAATGGGAACAAGGGGAGGGGTATATGCTAGAACTCATGGGTCATGCCTTGTATCTCAGAAGTATCACTATACCCATGCCCCACAATCTCCTTCCTTCCCCTGGCTTTTCCTGCCTACATATAGAAAAGTGTAGGAATTTGGCTCATTAAAATCAAATTTCAGAGACCCCTATCTTGTTACTACCATCTAGCCCATCCCAGGATGAGCACTGTTCTATTCCATACCGGTCTCTCCCTGCCTTTATTGTGTTGTAGTATATCAGAGCACCAGGCTGACTTAAAATGATAGTGAGGGACATAGTGAAAACTACTCAGTCCCTTCACTTTAACCTGTCCTATAGCAGGAGCAAAAGGAGAGAGAATTAAAACTAAAGGGCTGTACGCTTAGAACCAAAAAATATTTACTTAGGCAATCTGTGTGATTCATTGCCACAAAAGGACAGAAAGTTAAACACTGGTTGAAAGGATTGGACTTTAAAAAAACAAAAACAAAACCCCACCACTAAGAGCAAGCCTGATTGAGAGAGTTACTGAGTATTTTGCAGCTCTGATTAAAGTCAGTGGTCAGTGTTAATTTTTCAGCTCTATTATACAATATGAAACTCCGTTCCAGCCCCACATGGAAACAGCGTTCTAGTTACACAGTCCCTTTCAACTCAAAGGATTCCAAAGCACTATACACATGAATCAGCTCATCGACCACCGAAACGCAGCCTCTTTTGTCATTGCTCCCCAATGAATCAACTGTAAATGCACTTTCTCCACCCTGGTTTCCTCAGACTTAGATTTACAGCATCACAGGAAGTCTCTCCCAAGCTGCTTATTGTAATGTGAACAATTTGCTCTCCAATCACACCAACATTTTCACTCAAAATTCAAAAGCTGCAGGCTCTTATGTCACACTCACCACTGTGGTAGGAGCACATTCGTCCCCAACACAAGTCCACATACAATTGCTTCAGTGAAGAGACACTGAGGTGAGTCACAGTGCAAGCAGAATTAGAATAGACCCGGCTTAGGCCCAGAGCCTGCAGTGAGTTCTATGTGGGCAGATCCCTTTGCTTGGGTGGAGCTCATTAAATGATTAGGGCCTCAGGCACTACTGAAGGGGAAAGGGTCCTGTGGCCAAAGCACAATAGCAGGAGACTGGTAGGTCCCTGCTCTGCTCAAGGATTATGGAAATCATTGAATTACAGCATCTGTCTGTTTCTCACCTACATAAAGGGAGTATACCTACCTCACAGGACAGGGGTGTGAATTAATTCATTACTTTGGAAGTTCTTGGAGATGGAAGGGGAAGCAGACATGCAAAACACCATATCCTGGATGCAAATGGCCTTGCTTTTCTCCAGCATAAAAAGAAACAATTATAAAACTGACCTCCTTGTTAAAAAAAAAAAAAAAAATAGATCTAGTCAAACAAGTGACAAGTTGCATCCAAAGAAGTGGGTATTCACCCACGAAAGCTCATACTCTAAAACATGTGTTTGTCTATAAGGTGCCACAGGACTCTTTGCTGCTTTTACAGATCCAGACTAATACAACTACCCCTTTGATACTCAAACAAGTGAATTAATTTAATACTCAAGAATAAGGCCCCAGCTGTATTAAGGGGGGTTCTGATCCCCCAAAATGAGGGGGAGACCACCACCATTATTCAGATTTTACACTCCAGTTCAAAGGGAAAAGAACATTAACCTTATTGTACTACAGGTCTGTCGCATCTTACACGCATTTAACATGCACGATTTCAGCTTTACATGGTCGGCAAAAACAAAACAAAAAAAGAGAAAAATAACAATTTTAATACTGTACCTGTAGTGCAGGCAATTCCACCCACTATTACACTCAATGTAATTTTGACTATACGTGATTTTCACTTTACACACTGACTGCAGAACATAACCCCAGCATAAGATGCAACAAACCTGTACCTCACTCCCACCCCCCTAATACCTGCCTATATATATTTTGTCTCACACACACCTGGGGAAACCACAGGTGAAACTCATCCAAGCCACTGCAAAAGTCCTGGTTTTGACCTATCGGATTGACCCTCCCACACACAGGTTCTCAATTCCCCTCCCCAGGTAGCAATCCCATTTCCACATGGGGATGCTGTTGTTCCCAATAATCCAACTTCTAACAAACCATCCTCTGTCTTCTCTATAACATGTTGAGTTTGGCTGATCACTGACCAAATCCACACCTATCTGACCACCTTGATTACAGCTGAGCATTTCAGGAGGGAGTGAAAAGTTTTCATCAAAACACTCCACTGTGATCAAACAAATCAAAGGGCAAGCATGACTGGCCTCACAAAAGCCAAGGGCAGCTGTCACAGAGTTGCTGTTATCTCTGGCATTGCTGGGTCACCAGGACATTTAGCAGTAACATGAAAAACCCCTGGGGAAATGCTACATAACTGCTCCAGACCTAATGGCAAAACAATAGGATCTGCAAGAATTGCTTCCAATGGCCTGCTCCAGGTGTCAGCACCTCCTAGCACACTAACCTCGCAAACATCTAGCTGTGGTGAGTTCCTCTTCTGCTGCCGCGGATGAGGTAAAGGCTCATCAACAGCTCATACAAGAGGATTCAACACCCCTCCAGCCCCCAGTACAAATGCCTGTTCCCTGAATCACGTGTGGGTCCAGGAGAGAGTGGCCCGCACTCTAGAACAAGGCCCAGCAGCAGCTCCCCCCTTGCCAGCCCTAGGGTGGCTCTGCCTCCAGGTGGAGCATGCCAGAGAGAGGAGGAGCTTTTGCAATCCAGCCCCACAGCCGCATTTACCAGTGGCCGTGGGAAAGCATGGAGACTGCAGGCAGATTGCTCTGCAGGTAAAGGGACTGTGATCCCATACCCCTACCTGCCTGCTCTTTCTGGTCTGTTTGCTCTATTCACCCCAGTGCCTGTCTGTATTGCAGAGTCTCACTGCTCCTTCTGTGGCTCCAGCCCGGGCTAGGGAGGACTCGAGTGGCGCAGGCGGCTCCCCCAGGTTGGTGAAATGAGACAACAAGGGATTGTCACAAACATTTCCCTTTTCTCTGGGGGGGGGCTGGGCCTTGGTCTGCCTGCTCTCTAGCCCCCGTGGCTTTTCTGTTCCTCTGCCCCCACCCCAGGTTTCATAGAGAGCAGCTGCCCTTCCAGGATCTTTTGGGTGAAACTGGACAAACGCTTCCTGCAGGGAAAGTTCTTCAGTCTGGAGCTCATGGGTGAGTAGCAAAGTGGCAGATCTCAAACCCGGGGTAGACTGGGGAAGTTCTCAAATTGCCTCTAAATTCAGAGCCTGTGCATTAGCTGCTGAGGGACTTGCCCTTTTAATGTTAGCTGATGACTTATTTTAAAAAGCTGGCAGGATGGTGGGAGCAGAGTGATGTGATTTACCAAGGGTCTAATAGCTGTGGCCTTGGCCAATAGCTGTTAACAGCTACAGGCACCTTCTCCTTTGTGCCTTACATCTAATGTAACTAAGAAACTGGGGGAAGGATGGTCCAGTGGTATAGGCCCTTGTGCAGGGCTTTAGAGACCTGGGTTCAACTCCCTACTCTGCTGCAGAACTTGGGTAAGTCACTTAGTTTCTCATCTACAGCTAGGGACAATACTACTTCCTTACAGGACAGGTACGTGTGACATTAAAGATTGTGATGTGCTCAAACTCTCTAGTAATGGAGGCTATAGAAGTACTGGGCATGGCAGCTAGTTAAACTGTGTCTACTAGAATCAGTGTTTCTCAAATATGCCCACTGTGGCTGCATGCAGCCCACAGGGGCTTTTCTTGCAGCCACAGCCTCCTGGGCTGTGATGGGGCAGGGGGAAGTAGTGGCCATTCCCCCTCCCAGGTGCTCCTGGATATACCACCTTGGTGTTGGTTTCTGGGGCTGCCAGTAGGGGTTGCTACTGCCCCCCCTCTGGAGACACCTGGGGCAAAAACACTAGAGGAGCAGCTGGTGAGTTCCCTACCTTCCTTCCCAGGGGCAGTGGGACTCAGCTTTGGGCTTCAGTCCTGGGGTGCGGCGCGGCAGGCTCCGGCCATGAGGCTCCAGCTCTGTCCTCCGGCCATGGGACTTTGGGCTATACCTCCGCACCACCACCTCCCTGGCCCCAACTGCCTCCCCTGACCTCCCATCCAGGGCTTAATTTGTCCCCAAATTTGCCAGGGCTGAGTAAGTGTGCTGTGAAAAGTGATACTTGTATGTTTGTTAATATCACTTTTCACAGCAGACTTACTAGCTACCAATAAACAAATTACAATGCTTTGGATGTGTATATGTGCATATTTATTTTTTTCCTAACGTTAATTAAGTAATTTAGGAAATATTGTCAGAGCAGCCACCGCACTCTGAGGCCACCAAATAATTTGTTCTGAAGACTTATTTGATTCCTATATCTAATCCTAGACTAAATTAGCTCCTTAATTGGAGGAATAGTCAACTCTCTGAATGCAATGTTACTAAATCTACAAGTTATTGGAACTGAGGATCAATCAGTCACTGATTAAGCCCTTACAGCCTATCGCACTAGAAGAGACCTATCTCTAGTCCATATCCCCTGCTAATGAGCTTTCCCTTAGCACTTCCTATTCTTCAAACACTTGCCTGGTCCTCCAACTCAAAATGTACCTCTTATCTGAGCTCTAGAATGCTGCACTCTGTCAAACAGAGATAAGCACCTAATTTGGGTGACTTGATAGAAATACTAAATATATTTCAGGAAGCTGTCCTGAATGGCTCCTCAAGGCATCTGAGGTACAGGCTGCTATGTACAGAGAACTAGGCTCTAAGATAATGTAATAGGTGAGTCTTGTGAAAGTATAGGGTTGTCACGTTCACCCTAATGGTGTGGTCTTATTGGCTTCTTAAAGGAACATGGTGGCTTGACCAATTTAGACTTATCTTCTGAATGGGGATGAGGGTTGTAACTCCATCTAAATGTTACTCTGAAAGTGTGACCTTGATGTACCTGAGTCAGATGAGTTACTTAAGCTTTTTCCACCTACGTTGTGTTTCTTGTCAATCACTAGACGTGTCCTTTCCTTGTCATTAGACCCCTCTGGTGGCACAGTTCTGCTTGATGAGAAATTGGCTGCTCGCTGTGGCTATGTCCTGTCAGAAGATGTGTGGGGCAATACTATCTTCCGGGCTTCTGTGCTTGGCTGTCATGTGGCAAATAAGGTGAGGCCCAAAGCCTACCTGGGAGGCTTGGTCTCCAAACAGTTGCTATAGGAAATGCAGACTGACCACATAAGACTGTGAGGCTATAGGACTTCTCAATGGGGTATGATGGGAACATGAGAAGGCGTGCTGACTGCATGGAGGAGAGAAGATTGATGCCTCTGCACACCACCGTGAGGCCGGGTCAGTTTGCCTGGCATGAGATTTCCTCTGCCCCAATCAAATGACACTCCAGATTGTTGTTGCTAACTGGCTGCCAGTTCAAACTTGTCTTTGTTGCTGCTGGGGAGTCTTGAAAGTCTCACTGGAAAGCAGTAGACTTGTAGGCATCTGCTGAAAAGTCAGCATCCATAGCCTTATTCTAGCAGACACTTACTGGCTTAATTTGAGTGGTATTGTGCCTGCTAACTCACGCCACCAGGTGTAGGTTAGTCACAGGCTTGTGTGATTTAGAACCATAGTAACAATGAGGGGATGAGTTACTTGCCATACTTGGGCTACAAGACATCACCTGCTTAAGTACTTGACCTGGGAAGTCACAGAAGCCCTGGGCTCAAGTAAAGTAAAATGTTCTGGTTAGATCCCATTCTGCTATAAAACAGGGTGAAATGGTGTGAAGAATAATGACCAGCTTTGCATTCTACTAAGATCTTTGCTTAAGTGTACTGTAAGTACTGATTTCTGACAAAAAGGCCTTTCCGTAGATGAAATAGAGAGAGCTATCCCAATGTAAGAAATACTATGTACTGTCCAAGTGGAGATGAGGCACCAGTAGTAGTTATCTTGGTGAAGCCAGTTGAGGTAAATGCCAGGTGGGGGTTATAGGGTTGACCATGACTGGCTCCATCCAGATAAATATTACCAATGCCTCATCTCTACTTGACAAGTGCAGTGAGATAGTGATCCTGATGTAAAAAAACCCCACTCTTTTCAGTGAAGGCAGCCTATGATTGACACCAATTTTTTAAACTGTAACTTGCTACAATACTCTGAGTTTGTGGCAAGAATACTAGTTAGTGCCGAAATCTAATAAGTCCTTTCTTAAATTACTAGTAAACTTACCTTGTGCACTCTGTTTCTTCTAGGCAGATGAATTGTTTTCTCTTACTATAAACATAAAGGTGTCCTCATCTCCAGACATGAGACAAGCTGCAACCTACACCTACCCTATGTATTGTACATACACTCCATGGGCTCCAAGAGAAATTGTATGTGAAGAAAACTATATGGAGGTAACTTATCCATCAAAAGCTAAAACATTGAGGCTCTCTGCAAATCAATGCAATCTCTAAGTTAAGACGGGTATGAGCAGTTTACTCTACCTAACAATATCCTGCAATGAGGGAAAGCTCTCAACTTGAGCAATAGGAACATCTGCCAATTTCACATATGTACTAAAGACCAAGTGCATCTGCCAGAATGCTTACTAATAGATTAAAATATGTAACGTTCTGTACCTTGGGTATTCCTGATCTGTGACTAGGAACACTCAATTACTGCTGGGAATGCCGTATTTTGTGCCACTGCAGTGGGAATCGAAAGCCTCATAAGTATCTCTGTTAAATCTCCAATTATACAGGGCAGGGAGCTTTAATGCAAAAGTGCTGCAACATCTAGTAAAAACCTGTTGCCCCTCTTGGTTCAGGAATGGTAAAGTTTGGGAGTAGGCCCCTTTATTTTACAAGACTGAAATACTGGTGCATCTCAGGGATTTTATCAGCAAGGAGGCCAACGTCCTGCTGGAGATGTCAGACGCTATGTTACACGCATCCAGCTGCCACAGTAGAACCTTGCACCAGTTCCAAACATAAGCCAACTTCGTATACCTCCTTTTATGTATTGGTCACATAATTATCTCAGGGGCAAGGCTGCAGCGATATAGTGAGTCTTCTAGGAATTGAGATTGTTCAGCCTCATCCTAAAATGTCTGGTGCCAATGGTGAACGCTACACTACACTTATGGAGTGGCAGCAATTTACTACTACTGAATCCAAACCTTGACTTCCTGTATGGTAAGTGATGGTTAGCATTGCATCCTGTATGTTAAACCAAAGTACATGTGATGCTTTTGCTGTTAAACTGACTAGATCCTGAGTTCCAAACTCATGCTTTCTTCTACAAACCCTTACTGTACTCTTTAAAACACTATAAAGTTAGCCCTCTCCTTAAGAACACACAGTTCATAGTAATCAACAATTGGCTATGAAGATTATCACTAACCTCCTGTAAATGTAGCCTGATCAAATGTTCCATATGTAACTGAGACACTAATAAAATTCCTCCAAAGCTCCCTGCCTCCTCAATACCTATAAAAGCATGCTGCAGCTCATGTTTGCCCATCTCTGCTCTACTTCCAGGTGTCGGTGAAGAGTGATGTTCCTGCAATTTCAGACGATGACACTGCAACGTGGATGTCAGCTCTGCCAGAGGTATGGAGGAGCATGTTTTCTAATGGTTTCTCTTTAATCTCCATCATCGTAAATCAGTGGCTTGGGTGATGATGCTGTCATTCTTGGCTTCTGGCTCAATCTCTGTCAGCCTAAAAGCTCTATTAGCAGCTCTGCCTCATACGCATTTCTATCAGACATAGATGCAAGTCAACCTTCCAGGAGAGGAAAACTTTCATAGATGATGAGGAATACTGAGCAAATCACAACACGCTCACTAGACTGCAGAGGAGAAAAGTGGATGCAGTAACAAAACATGGCCACTTATTATAAATTTTACTCCTTAAAGTAGTCTGGCATTTGATTTCTAGGCTGCTCTAACAGTACAAGCACACTAAAGTAGTCAAGTATCAGAGGGGTAGCCGTGTTAGTCTGGATCTGTAAAAAGCAACAGAGAGTCCTGTGGCACCTTTAAGACTAACAGATGTATTGGAGCATAAGCTTTCGTGGGTGAATGCCCACTTCGTCGGATGCATCTGACGAAGTGGGCATTCACCCACGAAAGCTTATGCTCCAATACATCTGTTAGTCTTAAAGGTGCCACAGGACTCTCTGTTGCTTTTTAAAGTAGTCAAGTTACCCAAAACAGTGTTTCTCAGTGACCGGTCTATGGGCTCGGGCTGGTCCCTGAGATCTCCCTGCCACAGTTTAGGAAGGCAGCAAGCTGGTCCTTGGTATCAAAAAGGTTGAGTCAGTGTCCTAAAGCACTAAGGGCTTCTTAATTGTGGGGACTCTTTTCAGGGCCACAAACATAAGCTTCCTCCAAAGGTAAATACGATATGGCTTCTCTGAGAGATGCCTGCAATCGCTGCATGCTGCCTTGCCTTCATGTAAGGCATGTACACTTCTGGCCTGGGATAGGCTAGCCGTGTCCTCAAATGCCACTTCCATTAGTCTAAATTTTAATGGCAGAATAATTTGGTCACATGTCCACCTATATCTCATCGAACCATGTTTCTCTTTCAGGTTCAAAAAGTTGAATACCAGGTATGGCAACTGATCTTTCTTTCTCCTTCAGGGAGAAAGAAAATAATGGTAAGCGACGCAGCCAAACTGGGTTACAGCTTCAATAATACACTGGCTCGAGTGTTCCTCCGTGCTCCATATTCCACTAATGAATCTAAACTTGCAGTGGTGAGTGGTAGCTCTTGTAGTGGGACTGAAAGGCACTGTTTCCAGTCTCTCTCTAGCAACAATTTTTCTTAACTTTCATAGGTTAATGGTGTGAGTATGAACATAGTCAGTTCCACTTCCATGTACAAGCAGAGGTGGCTGCTTCTGTTGATTGACACAACTGTCTCATGTCCTATCGGTAAGTATCACTTCACAATTTACCAAGCGTACCAAAAAATAGCTACTTGAGCAAGCTAGTAGAAAACTCTTCTTTCGGGCCTAGCTGCAGCTGGCTCTTCAAGAGAAGCAATGTAAAAACAACCCTATCCTAGATGTGTTCCAAAGTACGATTTGCTTAATTCATTTTCTCATTTCTCTCTTATTCCTATACACACCTTTACACAAAGGCAATAAGCCATCAAAAAAGCTACATCAGACTGTCCTGCAACTGAGTATCAAGACCAGAAAAACCCTATTTCTACCACTGGGCCAGGAGTCATATTTAGATAATGCATATGCAGAGTTGTAACACCAGGAGAAGGTGGGATTTCTTGCATAACATAAAGGGGGGGATGGCGAGTGGATTTAAGAAGGAGAGTGGATTTAAGAGGTAGGTAACTAACATGGTTAGTGGGTATCTTTGTAAGAAGGTAGTAACTCATCTGAAACCGATCAGACTACTTTGAATGCCATACTTCCATGCTCTAGGATGGCCATAGAAGTATCTGGATGGAATGGGTTGGGGGGTAAAGAAGAGGAGGAGGGGGTGGCAGCTGTTGTAGAATGAAGCTCAGTCCTGTTTCCTTGGAAACACAAACTCTTGCACTGAAGAATGGTTTGATTTTCTGGTTATCTGAATCAACAGATGGCACCAGCTTCACTGATACTGCTATAACTTGGACTGTGCCAAGCATTATCCCTACACTAGTGCCTCGAGAACCCACCTTCGTGTCCAAAAACATTTCAGTGGGAGTTGATGGCCAAAGAATAATGCACCCTGAACAGACTTATATTCTGGAACATAACAAGACACACATTCAAATGACTATCCCCATTGGAGCAACTGGGGGCAGATTAAAGGTTAGTGAGAACCTATTGTAATTTAACACCCTCTGGAGACTAATGGAGGAGATCAGAGACTTCCGAACAGTGGTCAATCGAGCAGTTGCTGGTTGAGATGGGTTGCCTGATGCTAGCTTCTTCAAGATATTAAACTGGATTAAAGGACTATTAAAAATCTACTAAGGGCTCAAGAGCTCTCTCAGCTTGAGCAAAGCTGGGGTGCACTGGAGAAAGGTAACAGGAAGCCAGTCAATGATTTTTGATTGCCTGCTCAAATATAAGTTTATGCTGAAGCTGCCCTCTGATGCTTCAAGTGCAATGCATATGATGCCAGCAAAGAATTTGCCATAGCAGGTCCTCACTCTTCCATTCCCCCAACTGCCCTCCTCATTATGCTGAGCAGGTGGGAGCTGATGTAGAAGGCAACAGAGCCAGCTTTTCACTAGCAGAGGATCCCCTACACGGGACTAGAAAACAATCCTAAATATTTTTAATACTGCTGTGGATCCACAGAGGTGATAAAGAGTTGCTTCAAAAAGGAATCCTACAAAAAGTGGAAATGTGGACTAATTGCTTAGGAGGAGTACCAAAGAATAGCACAAATATGTAGAGACAAAATTACAAAGACTAAGGGTACGTCTACACTACGAGATTAATTTGAATTTAGATAATTCGAATTTGGGAAACAGATTGTATAAATTCGATTGTGC